CTCTGACTGTAACCCTTCAATATACATATACATGAGGGTGTGTCTACTGATCTCGGTGTGACCGCAGGGCAGCTCTTGCGCAGAAAAGACTACTGGAAGAATCCCAGAAAACAGAGGAGCGTCTCAGATACACCCGAAAGGACAAAGATAACGAAATCTTGTATGGGAGTACGGAATGTAAGCAAATATCATACTCCGATAAAGACGGCAAATGATCAAGAGACCTCGGTAAGTGCGGAACCATATCTTCACAGTATCATGAAAAGTCTGTCTGAACCAAAGCCTGACGATGATAGGAAAAGCCGTTAGGTAGTCTCGGCATATTAGAATAACTCCCGTTGTTCTCAAACAGACTGCAGTGGATGTGCCGTCATAAAGGGCATGCCTGAGTCTGCTTACGACATCCCGAAAAGAGACAGTGGTATAAAATTATCTCGGGAACACCTCAAATCATTTTTAAAGGAGGACAGAAATGTCATCGCCATAAAGGCTGTTGGAATGAGCCGAATAGGAGGCTCAAAGGATGTGCGGAAAGCAGAAGTTACTAGAAGGGGAAATTATACATGTCTAGAGGTCATTCCTCTGGAGAAAGCAAATAAGCTTCAAAGCTTAGGCGCGATGGACACCAGTCCATATCGGTGGGCATCGGCTGCCCTTTGCATTAGATCCCACGATATGTGCAGTTTCTTGTGTAGGGAGGACAATGTCTTTATCCCTTAACAGGCCAGTCCTGCCCTCATTTTTCTTTTATTATTTTTATTTTTATTGAGGAGCTTTTTTCTCTTGTAAAATTAATCCAATCATTTTTAAATTTTTGTATGGAGTTTTTTTTTCACCTGTCGCTAGTCGTTTTTCTCAATGGACTACTAATTCAGTAACTATGAATTGCATTTTGTAAGGATTCTGCCTACCTCGTCCGAAAATTTGCATGTAAATTTATTTTTACTTGCTTTGATGGGACCCCGACGGGTCTTTAATAAAAAACTATTATTATTATTATTCTTCCATTAGCTGTAGGGGCTCTCCCTTCGTCTTCGTTTGCAAAATTACAGTTTAGTTCTACCTTTCCTCCGACGTTTTTGTAAGTAGGTTACATGTCTGTTCGAGAAAAGACGACTGAGAGACTGCAGTATGTAAGTTAGCCGAAAGCCTATCGTCACTTCACAGTATTTTCTCGCGCATTGGGGTTTATATTAAGACTTAAAATCCCGTTCTTTGAAATTCGGAAGTCCGCCCTCCGATGCCAAGACGACCCCTGAGACTTTGACGTCTATTTGTTCAAAACTTTTTCAATACTCCAGGGGGCTGCTTCCAGACATTAGGGTTCAGACAACGGCCATTGGGATGTAGTTACAACATTTTGAGTTTTTGACGACCTAAATGGCATCCTAGTCGTCATTCTAATGACCGACTTTATTAATGCATTTTTGTCTCCCTTAGGCAGGATTTTCATCTCGCCTTCGACAGCGAAAAGTTTCAAATTCGTGGAAGAAGTCACACATCGTGCTACTCAACAAGCACACTCGTTCTGCATAATTTTACTTTTTTGTTGGTGAGCGCCATTCCAGCAACTCTGAAGACTCCGGAGAGTCAGACCAAACGCAAGCTTACATATTGTCAAATGGATAACATCCTGCCGAGTACGCGCCAGCATGGATTTCGAAAGGCTCGATCTTGTGATTAATGTCAACTATTTTTCCTACTTATTTTTTACAATCTCAGGACAGAAGGTTCTCTTTTTTCGTGGTTTCCTTCGATTTCATTAAAGTAATTGTCTATTGCGTCTGCGTCGAAGCCACAATAAATAAGAACGCCTTGGTGACCAGCCACTTCCTTGACCAAGTGGAAGGGCGATTCGTCAACTTAAGTTGACTGGTTTGGCGGCACGCAAACCATCAGGGATCCTGGGTTTTTCGAATTACTCGTCTTTATCATTATCTAGACGGATTCAAATTCAAGGCGTAGAATGGACACTAGCTCAGCTGCCGAAATTCGTGGCCACATATACTACTATACATACACTATACATATACTACTCATGTTCTGACGACTCCAGCGAAAGAGCTGGTGTCCCTGTGCCGAAATCTCGGCGTCTGATTTCGATGTACCACGTATCGGGCCTCTCTCCGGAATTAGCACCACGAACTGGCAGATTTTCAGAATGGGAACCACGGTCTTCGAAGCCCAAACGTTTAAGGAGACTTAGGACCGCGCGTTTAAATCAACCATATAAAATTGACGTTGCACAGAAGAAAAGGGCAAAGAAATGTTTCTGAGAAATTCATTTTGACCCAAATGCGAAAACCCAGCGACCTCGATTGGATTTGAATCCACAACACCAAGTGAAAAGCTATAGCACGGCCAATGGTCTAGCCACCTGAGCTACGAGGCCCCACCGGAAGTCGTGAGGCTAAACACATTTGGGTCAAGTTGCGTTAACAGTAGTCATCCGGTGGATTCTAGATGGATTTCCTAGGAAATCTTGCTTAAGATTTCAGCTTGCCGTACTAGACTTAGCCAGACAGTTGAAAAATCGATGTAGCTACTCCACTGAACCATGGCAGAAGAACATCAACTGATCAGGTAACGAGAAATATCCGTCCCATTGCGGCTTGGGACTGAGTTTAGCGTCCTCGCATTCTGTCACATTGCGACAAGTAAATATGCAGAAGGAGTACCAACTAAAACAGGAGAGACTGGATGGATCATTTTTGACGTGCTTGCCACGTCAGCCAGCCTTTCCCAAACCCAAGTTTTTTTAGGACCTGGGATTAGAACCGGGATTCTTTATTTGTCGAGTGGCGTCAAGCTTAGCGGTTTTCCATTGGAACACATGCCTATGATCCTTTCGGTTGCGGTCGGAAAAAGAATCCTACCGGATATGTATTCACGGAGCATATTGCAGAGTGCATTTTCTATAGCCTCTAGTGATTCAAGTTATGGTTCTCGCAGGCAGTTGCAAAACGACCAGTAACTATGCAGGTAGAAATATAGACGAAGACAGGTGAGCCTGTAACTGCCTCTTCTGGCGTGTTGGCCATGGGAAGGGGCGTCTGTTTATCAGCTTACGAGACATGCCATTCTAGTTGATTAGTAGTCTTATGTGACTGCTGCGTCTCAGTTTGACCAGATTTGAGTTCCATATCCGTGTATCAATCGCTTTAATCTTCCTGAGTGTCTTCTATCAATTTACTTCCTCTTTGATTCGAGTCCTCTGTGAGCACTCCGTCGTTATTCATTCCAGCAAACGGGGAGTCAGGCACTCAGTAAGATGATAGAGTTATATCAATGTTTATAAGATTCCAAACATTGAAATTTCTACATGTCGGCACAGCGTTGTCCTTCACACTAAGGTAATCAACTCGGCTTGACCTGTTCCACTAGCAGTGCTTGTGCAATCGCCTGGAACTCTGGCGCCTATCCACGTTCCGACACGTTCAACAGGTCGAATCAGATAAAAAAGGAGCAGTAAAAATGGAAACTCATATCGTTCAGTACGACAAACAGGGCTGGATCGCCTCCTACAAATCCACCACAACACCTAAAGCTCCCGATTGTAGCTTTGGAGGCGACGAAATAATGAGTGTGGGTTATCAGTCAGTAAGTCTACAGTCTTTCTTCTTGTCATCAGGGCCAGTGTACTGACCCTTTAATCAATTCACTGTTTCATAGTCTGGGGACGGTCCTCATTTTCATGCTTACTTTGTTTTTCGTTTTTGCATTTTAGGATTCTGGAAGCTGACTGGCCTGTGCCCAAATCACGCCATGCAATTTCGCAGTTTTGTCATCTATCCCGCGTTCACCCTTATGCTATATCCCATTAGGTTCTTATATTCCCATTTTGGATTACTTCATCAGTCGCTGTCAAGTCTACTAATTTGAGCTTATTAATGAGTCTCTCTGGGTTTCTATGAAGGTCTGCGCTGTTCGAGTTCTTATTTTAAAACCACTCTTTGTGCAGACCATTGTTGTTCTCTGTAGATCACTTGCCGTGAGCTCGAATCATTTCTTCGGTCTTGTCACATCCAGTATTTATGTGCATGTATGAACTATTGCTGGTAGCAATGTTTGGCGGCCGCGTCTAATTCCTTTAAGTCAGTTTATTAAGGAAATGAGACTCTCGCCCCTGAGCTCCCTATAGATTGGTAGGTAGATTTTATTCACGCGCTAAGTTAAAGAAGAATACGTCAATTTTCGATCAGGGAGGTGCGAACCGGTGACTTCTAACTACGTCCTGTTACACCAAGCAAAACTGACTATTTTACTAGGCCACAGTTGGTGGGAAAGGTGTTGTTTCTGTTTTTGGTTTATACGTGTGGCGCGCAATCTGGCCTGCACAATCTCTTTGAGTGGGTCTTACTAGCTCCAGGCATCATGGAAGAGGGGTATGTTCTGCCATACTCAACAGTTTGTTTTATTTATCTTCAGCATCGAACGTGCATTTGCGTTGCACGCTGCTAACATACAGAGTTCTATCCTTGCCTAGCACAGCCATATCTTTGGAACAAATTTTGTACATCCTCCTCCCAAGTAGCAAACTATATCGAGTAGATATCTATTAGCTATCTATTTATCGATATATATATATCGATTAGATATCTATTTTGACGCAAACACAGATATCCATTAGATATCGATTAATCGAGATACTACGCTATCGGCAAGAAGGGGGGTAATATGCTACGCGTGGAATCGTTTGCTTGGCCCAATGCCCTTTTCTACCCCCCATCCATTCCTTGTCGTGTGTTTAATCCCCCCCTATTACCCAGAGGTACTTTGGAGATAGTTATTGTGGAATAATTATATTGAAAAGTAAAATAGATATGTACAATGCTTTGCTGAATCCCTTCCGTGATCACTGTGTTGACCGATGCCGGCAATCAGTACAAGCTCCTGGGATGTTGTCTACAATTCAGAATTAGTTTTGATAAACTGCACTCAATTAAACTTGCGTCTTTAGCTTTCTTAGGACGTAGCTGTCCAGCGACTTTTCCAGTCGTCTACATTGTGCCCACCAAGGCGTGTGAGGTAGTAGGTCTAACGCAAGAGGGAGTTATAAATTGGGTATCATACCGATTGGTTTCGGAAGCTATTGTCCAGTAGTTGGAAATAACCTTCCAGTGGCTCTCAGTGACATCGATTGTGGACGGCAGTGTTGCCATTTGCTTACATATCAGAAGCAATATACGCATCTGATCGCTAGCTGATGGCACTTTTGGAGAATAAGTTCCAGGAGAAGTGACATTACCATCGTCTGTCTGGTCGCCCAAAGGGATGGTTTCGAAAGTCGTCGGCGTTCTCCTGTGGCTCCTGAAAGGTACAACAGCGTTATTTTCCATCACTTACTGGAAAGTCTCGTTTCCATACCTCTTAATACGACGTAATCGTGTTCTCTGGGATTCCTGCCTAAACATGGTTAACATGGAACAGTAGCAAACAAGAGATATAAATGAATAATGGTAAGTAGGTGCAAGGACTGTCAACTCACGCGTTCCACGCCGCTCACGCGAAATAATGGCGCGCCCGCGTGTGCGCGCAATCGATAAACGACTAAAGAACGGCAACCAATAAAATGCCAGATTGCTTAAGCGAGGTGGCCAATTACATGACAGACATACATATCTCGATAAATCGCTATTCACGTATATCTACTCGATATCTATTGCTACTAGGGCTGCTAACACCTTCCGCCCATGTAAATATGGAAGTGCTGACAAAACAGTTAGAACGAAACATAGTGGGTCCGTCAGTGCACGAAAAAAGCCTACGCACATTTTCTCCAAGTCGCACGCGGATTAACTGATGTGCAGCAGCCGCACTTTGCACGTGCATCGCGTTCAGTATGAGTGTGCGCCGACTTATAAGACACATCACAGTGCCAACCACCTATTTTAATGGCTTAAACTATTGCATTTCACTCGCTTAAGCTCCACGCTCGACATCACCGTAGTCTGTTTTGCTACCAGGGCCCCGTAATTGCCGTCATTCTCTACCCCAGGCTCCTACAGTTGCCATCCTTGTTCGTTGTATATCAGCTAAAGTTTCCAAAAACGTGGGATGTAAACCCCGGGAGAGTATAACTTTTGTCGGCTAAGACAGTGGGCGAATTCAACTACCACAATAGTCAGGTCCCAGTCCGTTCTCAAGAAGACACTGGTAGGTGTGTATTGTGTACCGAAGTTTAGTTGTGTTCGGAGTTCTCGACCCGCGGCCGGCACGGCCTCCGCTCCAGCGCCTTTCCTTGAGCGTGACGATCGTGTAGGGCTGCAGATGTGCTGGACCATTACAGGCTAGATTAGTTAACGGAGCACCTTGATCGCACACAACATAGAATCCACTCCAACCTTTAACTACTGCCTCGAAATAGTGCCTTCCACGGTGTCAGCCGCTGCGCCCGATCCCATTACGGACTGGTTGACAGCCCTGATAGTCGGCTGGTGCATGGTAGAAGAGAAAGTGGGGCGGACACTGGGTAATCCATCCCTTCTACCCTTTAGCGCCTTCCTCACCTAGCAAAAATGACGCACCTAAATCTATGACGACGCGCTAGTTGTCGTGGCTTGAAAGGTCGTTGACCGGCTGGATAACTCGGTGCTTCTCAAGATTGAGAGTAAGACTTCAATGTTTTTTTCTAAGTGTAGCCTTCATGGCACTCAATGATGTGAAATCCGGACCGTCCTTGTTAGTGTCTCCTACGTACTGCGAGAACCAGGACTTGTGTGGCACGCGTAATCTAGCTGATTATATTTGTCAGCTACTGCGCCCACATCTACAGGGTGATTATGCCGCTGATTTCCTGCTTTGAATATCGTCTGCGGTTTACAAAGGGCATATTCCTATGTGTTGCTGAACTCTTTCCCATATGCTTGACCGAAATAAGTCCAAAGCTGCAGAGCAGCGCTTTTAAGTCCTATAAATTGAGCAATTTTGGGTTGTCCTTTAGATTGCCAACTTTTTGTCTGAGTGCACTTGCTCACTTTGATCTATCTTCAGGGGACGCGGCTTTGGACGCGGTGGTGGCCGAGGCGGCCGCAGAGCTGGAGGGAGCGAGGGTTTCCACGGACAGGGAAGAGGTCGCGGTGGTGACTTTCACAGAGGACGAGGGGACTTCCATGAACGCGGCGGCGGGGGAGACTCTCGTGGTCGAGATTTTCGTGGCCGAGGAGGAGATTTTCGCGGCCAAGGAGGGGATTTTCGCGGCCGAGGACAGGAGTTTCGCGGTGGCCGTGGTGGCCGAGGTGGCCGAGGTGAGGAAATTGGCGAGGGCGGTAGAGGGTTTCGCGGGGCTCAAAGAGGAGGCAACGATTTCCCCGGGAGGGGCGACAGTGGTAGAGGAGGCAGAGGACGAGGCTTCCGACAGGCTGCATCAGAAGCTCCAGACGCCAGTGTTTTCTCGCCTGGCCAGTCTGCACCATGGTCAGTGTCCACTTGTATTCCTCTTATCCAGTTGAGGTTCCAGAAGTAAACCCTTGTTTTTTTAGTTTTCACGCCGTGCCTTCCTTTTTCGGGCTCCTGATACCTTAAAAAACGATTCCTTATGGTGTTTGTTTCCTCAAAAGGAATGTGGAAAAACTAAGCAAATATCATAAATACCTACTACGTCCGTCGTCGGCAGCACATGCCCTTGCAAACTGTGGTTTGTAAGTGCTTATATATGAAATGTAGCCTGCAGGTGCCCTGCCATGAAAAACTGAAAATATAGCGCACAATCTGCACTTAGTCAGTGGCGAGTTGTACACCAAGAAAATTAAGTTTAAGTTCAGCGAATATTTCCATGTTACAATTGAAAAGTCAAATTGGCGAACACGTGTTTTCAGTAACTCTTCATCAGGCCAAAACGGTTACAATGCAGTTTAAGTTATGCGAATTACATGACTTATAAATGATTCGGGGACAATTAATATCGATCGTTCCCACGCCACTCGCATGACGAGGCGTGCTATGGCGTGGTCGGCGTGTCGTGGTCATTGGGTTCAGGGGGCGAGGAAGAGGGGGGGGGGCATAGGCTGTGAGTACGTCGTGTACCTTGTGCACCCACCCTGGCATCAGGAGGTTGGGACGACGTTGGGGTCGGCGTCGGCCACGGAAGACAGAGCGCCTGTGTCAGAGTCTTCTGACAGCATAGCATTGGATTGGCTAGCCGTATAGCCACTGCCTCAGCTGTAGCTAGCACCCGTTGGCGTAGGCCTTTGGAGAAGCCTGCTGGTGTCCGGTAGACAATCTGAAAGGCTTCTTTGGCATCGACTCGGTGCTTCGTATCGACAAGATGTGCGAGAATAGAACTCGAGATCGATTTCTTCTCACCTTTGCCTAGCCAGGCCGGTATGTGTTCACGTACTCTCTTTTCCAAGCGCCTCGTTGTACGGCCGATGTATCCCGCTCCACAGGAGCAAGTGAATGAATAAATACACATTGATGTGGCCTGCAACGGGAGTCGGTCTTTACCTCCCAAGCGTAGGAGGGGAGAGGTAGTGAAACACACACGTAAGTTCGCCGCGGGGAAAGCGCTAGTGATCGCTGTCTTCAGACGTCTTTTTACCAGTTCACTTGCTGCGTCCCCTTGAAAAGGCAATCTTATAAATAAGTCCTTCTTTTCTGCCGTTGTCATGGTAGGTTTTGCAGTGCGCTCCCCTATATTTCGAAGGATAAATCTTTCTGGGTATCCGTTTTCGTGGAGTGTATCCCGCAGCTGCTGGAGTTCTGCCTCCACAGTCTCAGGAGAGCAGATACGTCGCATTCTAGCTGCCAATCCCTGGACTAGATTTCGTTTGATGTTGAGGGGAACAAAACTGTGAAAGTTAATGTATTGCCCCGTCCAGGTTTTCTTTCGGAATACTCTACGTTGGATAGACCCATCCTCTTGTCTGTGCAGAAGAACGTCGAGGAACGCGATTTCATTGTTTGCCTCAAACTCTGCAGAGAACGTTAGCGAGGGGTGTGAATTGTTGAATTTTTGAATCAGGACGTCTGTGTCGGTGGTAACATCCGTCAGGCAGAAAATATCGTCCACGTGCCGACCGTAGAAGCTGAGGCCATTAATGGCCTGCATTGTAACCGTTTTGGCCTGATGAAGAGTTACTGAAAACATGTGTTCGTCAAAATTAAGTTTGTCGGTCCGTTCTTCGCTGATAACCCCACCTACCAAAGACTCGTTTCCCATTGCCTGTCCTCTGTTCACAAATAACCCCAATTTCTTAAAGTGCCAGATTTATGAACTTGTTTTCGCGAAGATGAGAAGTCCGGGGTGATATCTGAGAGAAAGAAGTTCCCATCGGCAAAAAGTTGTAGGGTTTCTGGCGTCTTCGAAAAATTACTCGGCTCTCCACTATCTTGAGTTGGTCAATTTTTTTATTCGCCGCCTCGACCTTTTGGCAGATGTCTGACTGGCGCTTGCGTTACACGTCATCTCGATTGAGAGTCCGGTAGGCACGCCAACTAAACAGCTGGGAAATCGCGTTATTTCAGTCTTCCCTCAACAGACTTCTTTTAGTGAAGATGAGAACTTGGTCAATCGATTTATCGATCTGGCGCCGACATACAGAGCCCTGCGTCATCACCTTCAGTCTTGCGCCATCGGTCGATGATTGGCCTACATGCCTTACAACTGTCGCCTGTTCTGTTGCCGCTATTACCTCTGACGATGGACTCTTGTACGAGTCTGAAAGCTCAGGACAATAAACAAAGTGATCCGGTGCTCGACTCCTGTTCTTCACTTATTCATACACCCGGAACTCGAAATTTCGCCTTTATTAGTGAAGATTTCCTCCGAACACGTGAGGCTTGTAAGTATTAACTGGGATTGAACTTTAGGAAAGATTAGCTCGTCTAACACAGCAAAACAGCCACAGCAATTCATGTTTAATGGTCGCTCAAACGATAGGTCAATGTGACGCCGAATTTCTAGCTGACTTTTGGGGATTTCATGGCGTTTTTTGAAAATTCCTCAAAATGCGGGGACCGTTGGGAAATCCGTCCCTCAGACAGTATTTTATAATTGTCGTCATATGGTTCTTGGACAATTTTGAATGACGTCTGCATTGTCACCGATTGTTACTGTGTTCTTGCGGAACAGAATTGTATTACTGTTTTACCCACATTCGACGGTTGCAGGGCACTTCAGGACCGATGCATTTGTGTTACGGTCAAGGGTATTATTGTATTTAATATGCTCTGCAAAAACAAGACAGCTCGATCTCTTCAGAAGAGCCGATTGATAAGCCTTTCTTTTCTCTGATCAGTTCGTGGGTATGGGCTGAAGTAATACGAACAACAGTTTCCGACGGTATGTGATTTGGTACTATTCTCTGCGATTTCAGTCACCATAAGGTAAATTATTTCTCCGATTTCAGGGCAACGGGTCCTCCTGCATCCGAGATAAGCGAGATGCCTTCGACATCCTCGCCAATGTAAGTTA